TTTGGGGGAAATTTACTTGCCTGTGTCTTTTTTGTTCTATTTTCCTTTCTTTCCTTTTCTTCTTCCTTTTATTTCCTTCCTTCCTTCCTTTCCAGTTTTTCAAGACAGGATTTCTCTATGTATCCCTGGCTGCCCTAGAACTTTGAGGACCAGACTGACCTTTAACTCAGAGATCCACCACCTCTGCCTCTACTGCCCAGCCCCTTTCCTTTTCTTTCAAGCACGAACTATTGCTAGCAATAAGACAGGCAGAGCTTCACAAAGGAGTAAGGCACCAAGCTGAAGTTGCCTTTCCAAGGTCACTCAGCCAAGGTAGCATTTCTAATATCTTTTTATTAACTTTCCCACACTATCTTCTGAAGCACTGGACATGGGTAGGTCCAGGCCTGCTGGATGTACTACATTTCAAAAACCTATCACTGAATTGGTCTACCTGAGATTTGGGGCTTGTCTAGTCTGGGATTTTAGAATTCAAGCTAAGTGAATTCTGCTGGAAACTCTAGTACATCATGTGTGTTCTGACATGAGAGTCTCCACGAATTTGATGGATCACAATAGTCAAATTAAGATTAACCTCTTAAATTCTTTGCAGCCCTGTAAGATGCTTATTAAACAATATAGCAAGGAGGGCCTAGGCCCTCCCCCAAATGATATGACAGACATTGAAGGTCCCTCGTGGAGGGCCTCATTATCCCTGGGGAGGAGTTGGGGGATGGGTTGGGGGGGTTGGGGAGAACATAGGAGGATGGGAGGCCGAGGGAATGGATACCTAAATATGAGTAGTAATTAAAGAATTAAAAAAAAACAAAACAAAAAACCACTACAAATCTGAAGAGCTAAACTGCCTAAGGCATACAGACTCTTGCACTTTGGGAATGATTTAAGATCCTTCTCAAAGTAAGCTGCCCCCAAATGTCAATCTCACTGTTTCCAGGAGGTTCAATCTTTCAGCTTTGCAATAAAGGTATTAGGGAAGATCCTAACCATGACCCAGAAGCTCAAGGCATCAGACAAAGTCCCAGGACAGCATCTCCACACTAAGTGAAAAAGAAACCATCCAATGGCTGCAGAGGTTTATCGGAACTTGGCCTGAAGTGGGGCCTGGTTAGGTGTCTTGGCCTGTTTCTTCCCTAACTCTACCTACCTAGCTGACCTTGTCTGTACCTTCTACAGAACTGAAAAGATTAGAAGAACGTGATCATAAATTATTTTTCTCTCATGAGTTTAAAGTGCTGAACTCAAAACCTCTTGGCAATAAACCAAGGTGATGAATTTATGCCTTTTGCTTTGAAAATAAACTTGATCTGAACTCCTAGAGAGGCATCTTTTTTTTTTTTTTTTTAATCTTCTGGGTTTTTCTGTGGGCAGGAGAGGTCTGTGTCTATCCTTCCTGGTTTCCTACAGGCTTTTCTGTAGTGACAGAGACAAGTATCAATATCCATTCACAGCAGTTCTTGTATCCCCACCTGCACAGTGGGCTGTCTGTGTGTTCTTCCTGTGCCTTTTAACTTCTTTTTTCTTTACTGCAGTGCTGATGATGGAACCCAGGGCCTTATGCATGCTAGGCAGGAGCTCTATCACCAAGCTATACTCCCAGCCTACTTCCTATGCCTTTGTGCTTCTCCTTGCCTATCATTCCTTGTCATAGCCACTGAAAGTCAAGAAATAGAATGAAAATCATACTGTTTGCAGGGGACTGGCATGCTGAGCTGCTGGGAGTTCTATGCCTTCCCCTACACTGGAGTCTTTTATTTCTACCCTTGGGAAACCAGAAAAGTAGAAAACAGAGTTGGTAAAGTTAATGAAATTAATGTTGGAAAAGGAAGGAGGGGGAAGGAGAAGAGGAAGAAGAAGATTCATCACATCTCCTGCACCAACCCATATTTAAAGCAAACAGTAGACCATCTTACTTTGTCTGTCCCAGGCATCTTTACTAATCATTTTATTCAGATGCCAACTCTTAAGACAAACAGCAGCAGCAAATATGTACTGTCTTGTGACACACTCCCAGTCCTAGCTTTTCCCAACAGAAATAAGTTACTGCTGTTAGGCAGGTAGAGCCACATGCTAAGCTCCTAGTCCCCCACATTCAATAACTACTTCATGAAGAATAAACACAAGAAATGCTCCATGATTCAATATGTATCTAAGGTTTCCATTCCCCTGGCTTCACTGACCAGCAGGCCAAATCATATAAAACTCACCAAGTAAACCATGGTGCAGTTGATTCAGGCAGTAGAGGAAACAGTTTGGTTCTCAAATGCCCATCACTAAACTGTCTAAGGACAATAAAGGTTATAGTTTGGGCCCTGCTACAACCCATTTATAGACCCAAGAGATGGAGCCCCTCCAGGCTGGGGAAAACAAATTGTTCTTTTGTTTAAGTTAAAAGCTAGAAGGCGAGAGATGGAACTGGTGCAAAGGAACACGGACCATAGAGAGTATTACAGGGTGAGAGAGGGAGAGTGAGAAAGGGAGCGACAGAGGGTGAGAGAGAAAGTAAGAGAACATAAGTGGGCAGGGGTCTGTCTTTTAAAGGGGCCCTCTACACCTGCATGCAGACTTAGTACCCATGTAACCCTGGGATGACAAGAGTACTGCCTGAGTGCATTCTGCCAGGTAACGGGGCAGGCCAGCATAATGCCTGAACCTTTCACAATTGAAGCCAGTAAACTGAGCATGGCACAGCAGCAGCTTAAGCATACAAACAAATGGCATATTTGAAGCAGACACCTATAAGGAGAGCACTGTTCCTACACTTTGGATGCAGCTGGCATATCTCCTAAGAAAACACTCTCAAGAGGGTTACTGCTCCTAACCATTAAACAGCTCTGGTCAACTATTGAAATGATGAAGTATCAAGGCTGAGCCACCTCAAACAGCTTGATTCAACTTAGTGAACCATGAACCAAATAGGCTGTAATTTGTGTCAGGGATTCTCTTTCAATGAAAGGGCAGGAAAACTTGACAAGAGTCATGGAGCTTTGCAAAAGGCAAATAAGGCTTCTGAGGGTCTCCAGGACCAAAGACCTTTTAGGAGAGGCTGGCAAGAAATTCTTTAGGACTGGGTGGTGGAGCACACCTTTAATCCCAGCACTCGGGAGGCAGATCTCTCAGTTCCAGGTCAGCCTGGTCTAGAGTTCCCCAAAACTACACAGAGAAACCCTGTCTCAAATAAAACAAAAAAGAACTTCTTTAGGTTTGGGAGGGTTCCCTGCACCAATGCTCTTCTCTGGCCTGGATATCCAAAAGAGCTTCAGCTTCCAGGAACAAAACTCAGTTGTCTTCCCAGGGTACACAGATAAAGCTTTAGGGACCATAAAATGTCTAAGCAATAAAACTACTCTTAGGGACTACAGTAGGAAGATAAGGCCTATGAGTCCAAGAGGTGGGCCAACCTGGAGTCTGCCTGAGGGCCTAGCAACAGACATTGTCAGAAGTCTTGGATCAAACCTAGCCAATAATAGGTGACTATCCAATGCCACCAGACTGGGACCAGCCTGGGTGCTGGAAGGAGGTTATAAAAGGCTTTCCCCATTGCTGAATAAACAAGTCTGCTGTTTGCCTTTACCTGACTCCTAGTGTCTGTGCCGTTGATGCTGAGCCTTCTCACCCCTCTCCCAAGAGAGTGTATTTCAGTGAGAAGGCCCCTCGATGTTGTGTGTTCTCGGTCCCTTTGGCAGATAAGCATTGGGACCCCCTTTCTTTTCTCCTTTTGTGTTGTCAAGTTTGTCTGCCTGTCCATTTAGGATGGCACATTTTTTCTGTTTTGATTCGCCCACCCCCTCCACATAAGGGTTGACCACCCCCATAGGAAGTGGAACCAAGGCACTGCCCCTTCTCACCCTCCCCATCCCAGAGGGAGCTGTTAAGCCCAGCAACAGACTACCTTTCCCCTAACCAAAAATTCAAATACTTTCACAAAATCCTTTCTTTAAAAAAAAAAAAAAAAATCTACTGATGGCGAATGCCTTTAATCCCAGCACTTGGGAGGCACAGGCAGATAGATCTCAGTGAGTTCGAGGCCAACTGGTCTACAGAGCGAGTTCCAGGACAGTCAAGGACTGTTAGAGAAACCCTGTCTTGAAAAACCAAACCATATCAAGCCAAAAAATCAAACAAACAAAAAACAGGTTATGACCTATCAGATTAAAAGTTCCTGATAGATGGGATTTCCAAAGTAATTTTATTTCTATCTTATACTGCAGTCAAAAATTATACTGACCGTAGCAGCTAAAAAGCTTTTGTTTTGTTTGCTAGTACTTTTAAATGGTGTGCCAACAGCAAATAGTGGCACACGAGGCACCAGGCATTGCATCTCACCTCACCTCCTAGTCACCTATGAGGTAAGTTCTAATAATGCAAGGTCAGCTGTCTGTTCTGAAACCAAGGAAGTTCTAAATCCCAAGTCTTTCCATACGTACTTGGCAACAAAAAAATTAATGAACCTGAACTCATTTGGAGGCAAAGCAGCTGTGGGCTAACAGAAGGCTATTTAGATTTTAGTTATCACATTTAATGTGGATATCCATATGATTTACACACATATATGAATGTTTGTGATTACTGAGCATGGCCCCAGGTGCCCAAGGTGTGTGTGTGTGTGTGTGTGTGTGTGTGTGTGTGTGTGTGTATATCTTAATACTTTCCTAAACCTCCCAAATCTGAGGTCTTAAACATCTGGCCCCAAAGGTGTAAAATACAGTACTATGGGTTTCTAGTATCAACCCATTTCACAGATAAGAGGCTGAGACTCTCAGGGAAAGCAACTTGCCCAAGGCCATACAGTACGCAGAGGTAGAGTAGACTCTGAGGCTGGGGCCTCTTTCAGGGCCAGAGCTCCTGAGCTCCATGGTTCTGTGTCTGCTCACACAGTTTCAGAGGAAGGAGTGCTGTGCCAGGATGGCTCTTCTCCAGAACCAGCTATTTAAAACTCAGGGAAACACTTAAGTGGAAAACACCAACCACAATGGCAGTAACACAGAAGGGCTGGTGCTTACCTTGCCCAGGACAGTGAGACATGGTTTGGGATCCAATTCTGGCTGTTCGAGCTTCACCACTCCTACCCAGCCATATTCATACAAGTCCTCTTCATCATTGTTATTACACAGGCCTAGTGGGTGCATCTAAGAGACAAAATGGAAAGAAAATGTCAACAGGCTGGCCACAGACTGGCTTGAGTCCCTTTGTGTACTTCTCATTGTGTACTAAGCCAAAGCCACCTCAAAACTTTAAACTTTAAGGCAGGGAACAGTTTTTCAATCCACAGGGAATTCCATTTCATTGCAATGAGCAAAGCACTGGAGAGAACACAATAAAACCACTAGAAATAGATATTATGAGGGCTGGAGAAATGACTCAACAGTTAAGAGCACTGGCTGTTCCAGAGGACCCAGGTTCAACTCCCAACATGCACACGGAGACTCACAACTGTCTATAAATCTGGTTCCAAAGGATCTGATGCCCTCTTCTGGCCTCCATAAGCACCAGCCCTGCAAGTGCTACACAGACACAAACAACCAAAATAATCATATCCATAAAAATTAAATAAAGATATATCATATGTGCACATTCAGATGTGTGCACATTTGTGTTGCATATGGATGCCAGAGGTTGATGTCAGATGTCTTCTCAATCTCTCCACTTTATTTGAGACAGAGTCTTTAAGTGAACCTGGAGCTTTTCAATTTGGCTAGAATAACTGGCCAGTAAGTCTCAGGGATCCTCCTGTCTCTGCCTATCCAATGCTGGGATTACAGGTGTATATCACCATGCTTGGTTTTCACATGGTACTGGGGATTGAATTCAAGTCCTCATGTTTACATAGCAAGCACTTTACACACTGAGCCAAGTCTTTAGCCCCTATAAGTATATGTTATGGCTGCTTTCTCTGTGTCTTGAAAGTAATGGTTGTCCCAAGATGGAAGCCACCTGATAAGAGGTAGGAGGAGACAAAAAACTCATATAAATGCCAATCTAAGAGTGCTATAAAATATCATAAATCTAACACTAAGCAATTAAAAATAAAAATAACCAGTATAGCATCCTGTTTGGCTTCTAGATCTTAAGGTTACATGAACTTATCCATGAGGGCTGAGAGACACATTTGGGACTTTATGAGAACTGAAAATATGGCAAACCATCAGTATAATTAGCAGGCTAGTTAAGACTACAAATGATTACTGGGAAATAGATGACATTCTTTGAGATCTTTTCAAAATCAACACAGCACAAAATAAAAACTAGGTAGAGGAGTATCAGCTTATTTTCTCATATAAAAGTCTGAAAACAACAGAAATCCCAAGGTTTATGCTTACAGTTCTAGCACTAACTTTTATCAAGCTATTCTGTAGTAATTTTTCCTAGGTTCTTTAAGATCCAGTAATTTCTAAAAGGAAGCTCATTAAAACTCAGAAGTTCTAGGGCTGGAGATATGGCTCCATGGTCAGGTTGCTTCTTGCTCCTACAAAGAAGCAGGGTTTAATTTTCAGCATCTACACAGCAGTGCATGATCATCCTTAACACCAGTTCCTGGGGATCAACATCCTCTTCTGGCCTCTGTATATATGCACATAGTGCATATACATACAAGCAAAACATACATACACATAAAATAATAATAGAGCTTCAAAATAAAAGACTCAGAAGTTTTAAAGGCAAGATCATTAAGATTCAGGAAGTAAACTTTAGATTCTCAGGAAGTTCATGAAATTGACCAGATGCACAAGTCACCTCCCTTTCCAAGACTACCAAGGACACAGAGATCAACCATGCTGCCTAGAAGAAGCAGATCTGCCAAGCTGCCTGTACAGAGTCCCAGTCTAGCTAAGTAGCCTGGAAAAGACATCCTCTGACCTGGTGAGTTGCCTGCAAGTCAAGCAGTGTGCTCTAGGATTCCAGCTTTTGTCAGTTATCACCCATGCTGGGATGGCTTTGGTGGTGCAACTGTCTTTAAGTCATTCTTGCCCCTGTAAGTGGCCCCAATAAACTCACTGGCTTGCCAACATGGACCTAAGTGGCAACTGTACTTTGGTATGCCCCTGATTTCCTATCTGGGGTGCGTAGACATTTGTTTAAGACTCTCCAAGGAATAATGTAACATACCGCAGGCCCCAGAGCCCCAGAGCAATCTGGGAAGAGAAACTCCTCACAGATAATTTACCAAGTTATAAGCCTAGCATTGCATGTACTAAATTCCCCCTTTTAATATTTATTTATTATGTGTACAAGTGGTTTGCTAGCACATAGAACTTTGTCTCCTTAGAGGTCAGAAGAGGGAGTCAGATTCCCTGGAATTAGAGTTACAGATGATTGTGAGCTACCATGGGGGTTAAAATCGGGTCCTTTATAAGAGCATCTAATGATTTTAACTGCTGATCCATTTCTCCAATCTGATGTGCTAAATTCTTAGGTTGAAGAGCTGTCTTTAGATGAGTATCAAACTCCTCCTAGGACCAGAAATAGTAGCATGCACCTTTAATCCCAGCACTTGGGAAGCAGAGGTAGGTAGATCTCTGTGAGTTTGAGCCAGCCTGGTCTATAAAGTGAGTGCCAGGACAGCCAGAGCTGCATATATATAGTGATAACCTGGTAGGCCAGTGTACCAAGTGTTGTTTTAAGCCAGTAGACCTGTTATAACTTACAGCACCAAACAGAAAGCTAATGCATATTATTCCTTACTTATTTTATAAGTGAAAACAAAAGTTCAAAGTAAATGACCTTCTTTTCCAAGACAGCACGGGTTAGCAAGTACACTTAGCCCAATGGATTCTGTCTAGTGACTTCCCACTCTACTCGCTTGCTCTGTGCCACTTCTCCTGAGAGCTAACCATCTGAGACAGAAAACTCTAAAAGAGAAAATCTTCAGGGGGAAAAAAAAATGTTTCTAGCTTTACATTGGTTATAGTCAAGGACATTGTGCTATTTAATGTGGGCAGCAAGAGGAGCTAAGATGCTGAGAGCGAGAGGTATGTCTGAAGCTGCAGGGCCTCAAAGCAAACTCTGAAGGAAGAGTAGGACTAATCATTCCAAACTTGATGAAAAGGTGCAAAAGATAGCAGAAGAAGAATGAGAACAGACTGACCAGTCGTATAGAAAGTCAGTCTACAACAAAACAAAGGGGCTTAAAAATTATAGCAGAGTATGGATATCAAGATAGTATCAGAGTTTCAAGCAGTAAGTGGCACACTGAAAACATGAATCACTGAAGCAAATGGGTAACACACTTTCCATGCAGTGCTATGCCTGGCCTCCAGAGATGGCAATGAGTGTACAGCCTAGAGATTCTTGGAATCCAAATTCCACGCAACAGTGTTAAGAGGGATTACAGAGCCCACGTGACAATGAGAGTTCTAAAGGTTCTATAGGGGCTGTCCTCAGCTGTCTTTGTAGCTAGTGAGTATCCAATCCCTGGAAATTCCAAGACAAGGTCCTATTTCCTCATGAGTCCTCAGTTTTAAAGTGTTTCCTGTAGGATCAGTGAGGGTTCTGTGGCAAGGTAGACAGTGCAACCTTCTCTCTAGGATGCTCCTGCAGAACTTAGGCCATCGTGGAATGTCCTAGGTATTAAATGAAAAGTAGCCTAAAATGCCAAGCCCTCCTACAACAGAAGAGGATGGACAAGGATCACCAAATTGTAACCTAGCTTTACATTGTTTACAAAGTTCAGTTACCTATGACCTTCTGGAGAAGGTAAGACTCCGCTCAACCCGGCCCAGCTTCAGCTTCCCAAAGTCTCAGGTCAAGTCATTGCAATAGTAACCACATTTGTGACCCTGTTTTACTGTATTCCATAGTACTTCTGATCATGTGGGCTGGAGGTTTCCAAACAGACAACTACACTGTTACTTAAAACACCTATGGGATTTGGTCAGTGATAGAGAATAGCTTTGGAGGAGCAGGCAAATGCATATCCAAGAGCGGGATCTTTATCAAAACTTCACTAAGGAGAGCCCAGCAGACATGGCTAGACAGGTATGAGTCCATTAATATAAAATGTTAAGCAGGAAAATAAAAAAACTGAAAGAAGACTAGTGGTTGGTAATCCTGGGCTTGGAAGTGGTAAGGAAAGGCTGCTCTGTGGGTATAATTTCTTCTAGAGGGTGACGGAAATGTTCTGGAACCTCACAGTGATAACAGTTATACAATACAGTATATGAACCCACCACCACCACTTAAGTCATTGACTGCCCTGGAATCCACAGAGATCTGTCTGTGTCTGCTGTGATTAAAAGCATGCACCACCATGCCTGGAACTAAATACTTTTAAATGATAGTTTGTTTGGTTTTTGTTTTTGGTTGCTATTGAGACAGGGTTTCTCTGTGTAGCCTTGACTATTCTGGAACTCCCTCTGTAGACCAGGCTGGCCTCGAACTCACAGAAATCCACCTGTCTCTGCCTCCCAAGCACTGGGATTAAAGGCGTGCGCCACCACCCAACCAAAATGGTAGATTTCAACCAAGCAGGTGTTTACTCAGAAAGGACCTGTTGTCCCAAAGATAATATTGTAGAATTCAGGCTGCTGTCAGTTTGCCTCTAACAATAGCATCAACTTCCAGAAATGCCTATTGTTTCACACCTACAGCCATTTGTATCGCAGGGTTCTATTGAACCCAAGGGGTCCAAGTTACAAGGTTGGGAAAATGTTCCTAAGTAAGTAGAAACAGTCATATGATGAAAATATGCACTAGTAAACTGACCTGATGCAAAGGATGGTGTCCCCTAGGCAAACGTAGGCATTACGTGCAAACGAGCATGCTGTGTCAGGGGAAAAGTAAAGTGGTGGGCTTTTTCTTCTGAGAATGTGTACTAGGTTACATTTTAATTTTATTTCATACTTACAGCAAACTGTTAGAATATTCAATGACAGAGTTTAGGCTGTATAAAGAAGCTGTAGACTAGAACTGCAAGTCAGCAGTGAAGTCAAATTAATGGTACCATGAAAGTTGTGTCAGCCAATGAACAGCTGGATCCCACTCAAAGCAAATGACAAATGATATAGTTAAGGATTAAAGAACTATGCTTGGGTGCTTCCACAGAGAATGATCAAAGCAGAAAGGAACTATGGGAAAAAGGAAAGTTCTCTCATTTGGAAAATGACCCTTGATATTACTGCTGAAGTCAGAC